AACGTGAATTTATTTTATTTTAAAAACAACCTTTTTTAACATACCAATTCCAGTTCCCTCTCCCTCTCTTCCTCCCACTCCCCTCACTTTCCCTACACCCCACCTCCCATCCACTCAGCAGAGAGGGTGAGGCCTCCCATGGGGAGTCAACAAAATCTGTCGCTTGAGGCAGTACTAAGGCCCTCCTTGCTGTATCTAGGCTGAGCAAGGTATTCCTCCATATGGAATGGGCTCCAAAGACTCCGTTCGTGCACTAGGGATAAAGACTGCCAGTGGCCCCACAAACTGCCCAAGCCACACAACTGTCACCCACATTCAGAGGCCTAATCTGGCCATATGCAGGCAGGTTCCTCAGCTGTCAGTCTCACTAGCTCAGGTCAGGTGTTTCCCCATCATGGTTTTGGCCCCTTTGCCCATAATATTGCTTTCTCCTCTCTATGACTGGACTCCAGGAGTTTGGCCCAGTGCTTAGCTGTGGATCTCTGCATCTGCTTCCATCAGTTACTGGATGAAGGTTCTCTGGTGATAGGATCAATCTAAGTACAAGGTAAGGTCATTTTAGGAACTTTCTCCTCTATTGCTTAGATTCTTAGCTGGGGTCGTCCTTGTGGAGGCAATAAAGAAAGCATAAACGGGGGCTGGAGAGATGGCTCCGTGGTTAAGAGCACTGACTGCTCGTCCAGAGGCCTAAGTTCAATTTCCAGCAACCACATGGTGGCTCACAACCATCTGTAATGAGATCTGGTGCCCTCCTCTGGCATGCGGGCATATATGGAGGCAGAATGTTATATACATAATAAATAAATAAATCTTTAAAAAAAAAAGACACAAATGGAGGGAATTCTGGAAATGGGAAATCTGAGTAATCTATCAGGAGGCCTTTTCTCTTGCAGCCCAGGTGGGGTGATTTCTCTGGCACCAAGATTCTGCAGGGAGATGGCTTTTGTAATGCACAGTAGGCACTGGCACTTAGCACCCTCTCTGGCATTCTTGGGTAGTGGTGCCACAGGGCCTGTGGGCAGCTCCTCAGCAAGGCTTTCCCCTGCAGATTTACTGCAAGTTCTGCTAAGATGTTACAGGAGCTTCTCCATCGATCCACAGCCTCCCTGCCCAGCAAGGCCTGGCTCTCAGGCCTGTTAGGGATGAACAGGGGACTATGCCTTTCCCCGGACACTCTGTCTCAGCCGTTGAAGTGGCATCTGCTCTAGAAACCCGTGCCTCTGCTCTTTGGTGCTCCGTTTCTTACTAACATCCTTACAGAACTCCTGCCTTCCGAGGAGGCCTGACCGATGTAGACGCCCAGTTCCACAAGAGTTAAATTATAATCAAAGCTGAATTCAGAGGAGTCAGGGAACCCCGAAGGACACTTGCTTTCACTCTGGGTGAAATGGGAAGCCTAAAGAGGGGAAGTTTTCTGGAGGGGGGATGGGGCAGGCACTGCAGAATCCCCAGCAAGGTGACAGCATGGGTCAGGGTGGAGTTGGTGATGATGGGAAGCATATTCTGGGTATTTATTGAAGGAAAACAGAAATAGATTTCTTTTTTTTTGAGACAGATTTTTCTGATTCTTGGTTGTCCTGGAACTTACACTGTAGACCAGGCTAGACTTGAACTCACAGAGATCTGCCTTCCTCTGCCTCCTGAGTGCTGGGATTAAATGTGTGTGCCACCACTGCCCGGCTCACATGGGACATTCTTGAGGATACATCATTCTAGGCTGTAAAATAAATCCCAATTACTTTTTAAAATTAAGTCTATTATTTTAAAATAACTAGATTCACATGCAACTGAAAAAAACAGTTCACCTAAGTTCCTCGTATCCTTCAGGAATGTTGGCCCGGTGCTAACATTGAAAAGCTGTAGGGCAATATTGTAGCTAGGGTGTTAGCCTTGATGTGATCATGGCAGGATGGTCCATTCCAGAAGACTTGTATGTGATTCCTTATATCCATTCTCACACTCTTTTCACTATATCCTAGACTTTGGGCAACTAGAAATTTGTTCTCCTTTCCTATCATTTTCTCATTTTAAGACTTTTAAGTGGAATCACAAAGGATGTGACCTTTTAGAATTTTTTTTTTTTAGGCAGGATCTCAAGTACCCAAGGTGGCCTTGAACTTACTATTTAGCCAAGAATAATCTTGAATTTCTCATTTTCCAAACGCTAGGATCACCACACCGAGTTTATGCAGGGCTAGAGAGTAAGCTTAGGGATTTGTGTGTACTAGGTGAGTACTCTGCCAACTGAGTGACATCCTAGCTCCAAGGTTGGTTTTTAAAACAAAAAATTGACATAATTCTGAGACATTCTTCCAGGTATATTACAAGATGTTTAAACACCAGTTGAAGGACAGACGTGTTCCACTTTGGGATTATGATAAACAGAGCTGCTGCAAGCATCTACGCACAGGTTTTTGTATGAGCACCATTTCTCTGGGTTAAATAAACAGAATTACAGTTGATGGACTGTATATGTGAAGTTGGGACTTTTTCCAGGGTCTTGGCTGGACCTGAGAATTAATCCCAGCTCCAAAGACATAACTTTAGAGGGTGTTCACCAGGACACAAAATGCAGAGAATCTGGATCTTTCCTCTGCAGCCCAGATCTATTGTTGAGGTCCTGGAGCAAAGTTTGCATTATGTTTAGTATGTTTCAACTCCAGAGTTTCTGTTTGATTCCTATAGAGAATATCTACTCCTTGGTGACAGTCTTTAGCTTAAGACGCTATTTCCATCATCGTTTAGCTTTTTATATATTTCTCCTGTGTGTATGGTGTATGCATATGTGTGTGTATGGAAGCCAAGGGTTGATTTGGGTGTCATCCTCACTCATTCTCTGCCTTGTTTTTGAGCCAGGGTCTCTTACTGAGCCTGGGGATCACCGGTTTGTCTAGACTGGCCCTGAGCTTCCAGGGAACCGCAGCCCTAGAACTCACATTACAGGCTCCTGCTTCCTGGTCCTCATGCTTGCACAGCGCTTCACTGACTGCGCTGTCCCTCTGTCATCTTTTAGCTCTTTGAACATTTAAAACAGCTGATTCGTGTAGGCTTATTGTCTGGGCTTCCTCAGGGAGAGTCTGTTTCAGAGGTTGTTGTTTCGGACCTGTGCCAGGTCTTGTTGCTTCTTGTATGTAACCTCACCTCTGCCCCAGAACTTGAGCTAATACAGCATGGTGAATCTGGAAGCAAGCTCCCTGCCTCCCCAGTGGGTATTGCTGTGGGTTTTTGTTGTTTGTTGGTGAATTTCTTGACCTAATTCTGTAGAGCTGTGTGTAGAAACTGGAACCTTGGTATATTAGCTGGTAAGTGCCTTAAATGGGAGACTCCCGGGCTTTACCAAGGTTCTCTGTGCTGTGGCACTCCTTCATTCTTTGGCAGGAAGTTTGCCACTCCTCATTGTCCCCCTACTTCCTGCTTGTGCACACCTGCAAAGTCAGCTAGAGGTGGGGTGATTGCTTAGGACTCCCAGTCTTTCCTGGGCAGTGCCCAGCCCTGGCTTGTGTGCAGTGCCCAGTCCTGCCCCGTCCTGGGGCTTGTGTGCAGTGCTGGGCAGGCTCCCTAGATCCTAGGCCCGTGTCAGAGCACATCAAAGTCTCCTATGACCAGCTAGCTTCCATCTTTCCTCTATTTAGATCTCCAGTCTGATTTTTGTTGAACTTCAACTTTGGGAAGCTATTGTGTTTTCTTACTTTACTGCCCTGGGGTCTGCAGTACAGCAGAAGAGCAATATGATAATGCCCAAACTCCCCATGGTTCAACCACACTGGGCACCCGAGAATGTACACGGAAATGCATCCCAGTGCCTCTGTCATTGGACTAGCTCAGGCCTGTGCAACGAAAGGCCTACATTAAATGAAAAGGTTCGAGTCCCAGGTCTCGCATCTTGAGGCTCACACAGCTCACAGACAGCAGCCAACCCCACAGGCACCTTCCTGACAACTCCTGAGGGAGGAGAGTGCGCAAAGGGACACTGCAGACTGGGCTGTGTCCCTTGACCTTTATCCTAGTAAGCAGGAGTTAGGAAACCAGCCTCATCCAGAAGCGCTTTAAATCTGAGGGATTCTTGGGACTGAATGAATAAGAAGGTATCTTCTTGAAAGAGTGCCTTTGGGCAGCCAGATGCCATATGGTGAGGAAGCCCAGGACAGGTGGAGGGATTGCGGGTGTGTGTTCAGGCCAGGTGTTCAATCCGGGGAGTCTGACCTGCTTCTGGTTGCTGAGAGCAGCTCTCCCCTCCAAACTCCATCCAGATTGCAGACGTATGAGCAATTTGTCATCATCTTAAGCTTTAAATTGTGGGCTGCTTTGTTACACAGCAGTCGATACCTGAACACAGCAAATGTGCTGTGGTAGAAGTCAACTAGCTAGGTCATTACTGAGGGTTCTGCCACCACCAGAAACACCTTTGCACATTTCCTCCGTCCTAATTTCTAAGGGCAAAGTTCCAGGACATGGCTGTCTGGGGCAGGGTCCTCAGCTTGGCCTGTGCTGGGGGAATGCTGCAGAAGGTTTAGTGTTTCGAAGAGGAAGAGGCTGTTGAGATGGAAGCCAAGAGTCACTTTGGGAAAGATGTCCTTGCTATCCAGGGAACCCTGCCACGCTTCTGATAGGTGTCCCATGGGTCCGTGTGGTCCCTGCTGTGGTACCCTCAGTGGATACTGGAGCTTTTAAGAGGCCTTGCTGGAAATCTGGTTACATAAGGGCAGACATTTGAAGTGGGTAAGACCCTGATCTCTCCTCTTAGCCCTTTTCATTTCTTGGTTACCATGGGTAAGGAATTTTGCTCCACCATGGGCTCCTTCCCATTATGCACTGCCTCAACATGGACCCAAGAGTAGCAAGGCCAAATAACCACAAAATGAATCTCCAAAACCATGAACCAAGGCGAGCATTTTCCTTTCCTTGCTTTTATTTATTTTCTTTATGTGTATGGGTGTCTTGACTGCACTTATGCCTATTTATCATGTGTGTGCCTCTTCCCTGTGGAGGCCAGAAGAGGGCATTGATCCTCTGGAACTGGAGTTACGGATATTTGTGAGCCACTGTGTGGATGCTGGGAATTGAACTTAGCCAGTGCTTAACCACTGGGCTATCTGTCCAGCTCCCAAACATTTCCATATTCATATATTGATTATCTCTGGTGTTTTGTTACGGTAACAGAAAGCTAAGGCAAACCCTAAACTTTCCTCTGACTGGAACAGGGTTTCCTAGACCTTTGTACAGCTGGCTCTTCACATGAAACAAACTTCAGATACCACAGACCACCACTTAGGTGTGTTAAGATTCTGGGATTGCTCAGAGATTCCCCAGTCTGACAATTAAGATTTTTTTCTCAGGTTTTATTAAATACTGGCTAGGACTATGAAAACTGGCCAGATCCATACCTGAGACTCATGCTCAGAATATGGTGTCAAATGACATTAAGTCAGGGACTTATAGAGGCAAAACCACAAGGCTGCGTACTTCCTGTCTTTGTGCAATTGGAGACAAGTACACATCCTGACATATTCCCTGACTATGTATGATCAAGCACACATTCTGTGCCCTTTGGGGCAACCAGACTTGTTTACAGATGCAAAAATACTGCCTTGTTATCTCACATGAACAACAGCCCCCAGCATTCCAGTTATCTGTCCTTAGGCAGGTGGGGCTCACAGTTAGAGGCATTTTTGCTTTATAGCTCTCTTAAGCACAGTCATTTAAACGTAATACATAATGAAAACCATCACAGGTGCTGTGTGATTGTCTGCAAGCGACCCTGTGTTTCTTTCTCAGTTGCAACGAGGGGACATGAGAGAGCCTTCGCAGGGAGTTGCTGTGAAAGAAAGACGAACATTTGTAAGGATCCTGAAGTCGCTCCCAACATGCACACTAGTTTGAGCACTATTTTTTTTATTGTAATTAAAACCCCAGCCTTCTTCTCGGAGAGTCTTTCTCTCTAAAAATAGGGCCATCACTTTGAGGGAGGGGTTGTCACTTTTGTTTTCTTTTTGGCACTCAACACTGAATTCAATTAGTCGATGTATTCAATAATCCGCTTATGTGTTTACTTCTGCTTCTCCTTCTATGTGTCATGCTAGAAAATGTCCCAAAGGACACCTGTCTTCACTGACTGAAGAGTGTGTGAGGGACATCTGGCACAGTCTTGTCCTTGGACTTACATAGCAGTCAGCGTGGGGACCGGACACAGCCCAGAGCCCCTTCGGTGGCGCTAATTGCTCACTGGTAGAGAGCACCACCAGTAGGATGTTATTGTCCATCCAGCGACATCCCAGCTGTAGAGCCCTCTCCTAATCAGCATCGTGTTCCTAGGCAAATCAGCGATGGCTTCCATCAGAGGAGAACAGCCCTGCCCATCATCCTGGACACTCTGACAGGCCATTCAAGCTCTGGAGCTACCTGAGGTGAGGAGAGGGGGACACATTGCCCAAGGCTGTCCCAGGGCCTCTACCATGGCTCAGCTCCTCTCTCTGCTCACGCCAGCTCTCCCAAGCCTGACCATGGGTGCTGGACCCCAGGTTCTACTCAGTCAATAGCTTGTACTCTGAACTCCACCTTCAAGGGGCTTCCCGGGAAGCCCAACCCTGAGGATGATGTGTTGGAGGAGCTAGGAGCCCCTTTCCACTGCTCTGCCATGACTCCTGCTGTGGAGAGAAGCATCCCTTTCAGTAGTAGCAGCAGGCGACTTTCTGTCCTGAGTTGGTATTGTCAATATCTCTCTGGGGGACATACATCAGAAGAGGGGACCTGATCAGATGTTCTGTGAGCTGGTTGGATTTTTGTCAACTTGATACAAACATAAACAAACCTGGGAAGAGAGGGTTTTTTTTTTTTCTTTTTGATTTTTCAATACAGGGCTTCTCTGTGTAACAGCTGCCTCTGCCTCCAGAATGCGGGAGTTAAAGCTGTGCACCACCATTGCCTGGAAGAGAGACTCTTGAGGAGTTGCCTCGATCAGATTGTTCTGTGAGAAGTCTGTGGGGCATTTTCATGATAATGACAGCTGTGGAAGAGTCCAGCTCACTGTGGACAGTTCCAGTTTTGGGTCAGTGGTCTTGGGCTGAGTAAGCCATGCAGAACAAGAAAGCACAGCCCTCCATGGTCTCCTTCAGTTTCAGCCTTGACTTCCCTCAGCGATGGACTGTGATGTAGAAGTGAAAGCTGAAATAAATCCTTTCGTCACGATGATGCTTTGGTCGTGGTGTTTATTACAGCAGTAGAAATCTTGACTAAGCCACTGTGGGGACCACACCGGATACGGCTTCTTTCAGTGAGGACTGGGGCGGGCGGGGTGGGATCACATCAGATTTCAGTATTTCTGCCCCATATCCTTGAAGAGAAAGAAAGGCGATGCTTCGAGACCTGGCCCAGGCAGACAGTCATTTCCGCTCAGTGACTGGGACAGCAGATTTGGGTCCCATTTTAGAAGCCCAGCTTTAGAGAGAACAGCTGAAGCCAAGGCCTAGAGCCAGATCTCACCAAGGCTAGGGGTCTGTCTAGGGTCAGGAGTCAATAAAGAGGTTAGAGTCAGATCCTTGTGTCAGGTGGGAACCACAGTCTGGCCTCAGAGTTGCTATGGAGTTGGTCCAGGGGCAGTGTTAGTGTGGATTCTGCTTGGTACTAGCCAGGTCTTGATAACAAGGGTTAGGATCTGGTTTAGTGTCGGAGTTAATGATCCAGCCCCGATCTGAATCGCAATTCAATCTAGAATCGCTGTCCCAAGCTGAGAGTTTATCTTGTTTCGCTCTGGAGATCCTCAAAGCTTGCCTTAGCCCTGATGTGAGCTGAATGCTAGCATTTGAGTTAGCCTGCTGTTCTGTGGAAGGGTTGGACAGCTCCAACCCAGGGTGGGCTTGGCCTGCAGCCTATTTTAGATAACGTTTATCATACCACATATTTGGTTGTGCACTGTCTGTGTTAACCTAAACGCTGTAGAATCAAAGTTGAGCAGTTACAACAGAGGCCTCCTGGTTTGCAAAGCCCGAAAAACGTATGCTGGGCCTTGACATTGGCTTACAAACCCTAGGAAAGGGAGGGACTTGACTGTAGAAGACCAGATCCCTCACCTCTCGGTGTTCAGAACTTTCTAGAAAGCAGGTGGTCTTTCCTGAAAGCTGGAGTGGCTTACAGGAAACAGAAAATCCGAGTCTCAGATAAAGTCTCGGTGCTGCCAGTCAGAGCGAGACCATGCGTGAGGTCAGTTTGGTTCCATTAAAGTCCTGTCTCAGGTCAGCAGGGATGCACCGTGGAAAACAGCTGCCTGGCAGGCTATTCTCGTCCCCTAAACACAACACTGTCCCATTGGGTTTAGTTGCAGGATTGTGCAAGCCCCCACCCTCCTGGCTGTCACAGGGCCTTCAGCAGAGAGGTCACTCCCCCTGTTTACTTCTGCTCCCTCGACCTCTACCAGTGCTGATCCCTTGTCCTCAACATACTGTGACTCAGGTTGACCTTAACTCACTGTGTAGCTCAGGTTGGCCTTGAACTCATGGCAATCCTCCTGCTTCAAGCCTCTGACACATCTACTGGCCACCACATTACACATTTTGTAGACTTGTCAGAACGTGTGTGGGGGCACCTCAGGAATCACCTAGCAAATACTGTGTATTTGCTTGATTCTCAACATAAATTATTCTCATCTGTATTTAAAAAAAGGTTTTATTTTATTTCAGTTGCAGGCGTTTGGGAGGAGGGTGTATGTACACATAAATGCAGTTGCCCACAGAGACCAGAAGTGTTCGACCCCTGGAGCTGGAGTTACAGAAGGTTGTGAGCTGTCTGACATGGCGCCTGGGAACCACACTCAGACCCTCTAGAAGAGCAGAAAGTTCTCTTAACTGCTGAGCCATCTCTCGGGCTCCCTCATCTTCATTTGTATCCAAGAGCACCACATTGCTGATGCACCTGCTGTGGTCTCCAAAGCTCTTAAACTGTAGCTTGATTTTTAATTTCTTGGGCTGTCCAGGAAATTTCAGCGTTAAATTTCATATCCAGTGTCATATTCTTCGTGGCCCCGTGGTGACTCTGGTTCTTACCCCGGGTACCCGGGTCCTGCTTCGATTCCAAGTGTAAGATCTGCACAGTTGGCAGCCATCCTGGTTCCAAGAAAGGGTGGCTGACTGATCCAGGGTGATTCTGTGAACTCCAGGACGGCCAAACCCAGAGCACATCTGTACTACCTAGTTTAGGGGAGAGTTCCTTTGTCTTCTTCAACTGCTCCCAGGCAGCTTTAGCCCCTCAAATCCAGAGCCGGTGTCTCCACTGAGGGGAAAATCTGTTGCTGAAGGTCCAGTGCTTTTTCTTAAGACCATGAGTTTGGGGTAACAGTTGGGTGGATGGCATGGTTCTCAGTCCTGCTTCTGCTTTGCTTTATGCCTTCAGGAGGGTTCCTCTATCATGGCAGTGTTTTGGCCTGGAGAATTCTTGGGCCCAAATGTGTCCAGGACATTTGAAAAAAATGAAAGAAAAGCAAGGAGCGGTGAGTTGCCTGGGATGGATGAGCTGGCAGAACTAACGAGGCCAGGGCTCTCAGGAGGCTGGGACAAGCCATTCTTCCAGCAGAAAGGTGACGAGTGTTGGAGGATCCCTCAGCGCTTACATCACCCACTTGTCCCGAAGGGGAAGGATTACTGAGTCCAGCACCTCAGTGCACTGGGAAGGACCTTGCCTAAACTTGTGTAGTAGGGCAAAGACAGAAGCTAACCTAGGACTCCTGGATCTTATTTGGGAGAAACAAGCAAAGGGACAGAATCCTCCCAAAGTCACTCAAGGTCCCTCACTTGGCTGTAGCCACATGGATGACCACAAAGCCCTTGATGTCTGGGAACTGCGGGCTGACAAGGTCCACCTGCAGCTGCCTTGGGCCACTCTTGGAGGGGGTAATGTTGAACTGGATCAAGGCCCTCTCTTGAGGCTGCAAGCTGGGCACCCTGGAGGCAAGAGCATGGGAAAAGGCAGATAGTTAATCCTCTCTCCTTGAGTCTAACTCCCGTCCCTGAATCAACAGCTTTACCCTCATCTATCACTTTCTTCGCTTTGGCCATGTTAGCCCCTCCCTCGCCAGTGCTGGCCGTGAGCATGCCTTGCGCTTCCCTCCTTGGCTCTGGATGTAGCATTCCTTCCACCTTACTGCCCCTTTTCTTTACCAACCCACCAGAAACCCAGAACCAGATTCTCTCCCTAAAGAGACCTTCCCTTTCCATCAGAGACCTCTGCCTGGGAACCCCGTCTTCCTTCTCTATGCCGGAAAAGTACCTCGTGTTATTGTTATCATTTAGGGACCAGCCCAGATGCCAGTGGTACCAACGCTTCTCCCTAACCCCACCCCACCCCACCCCACCTTCTTTCAAGGACTGCCTCCGGTCCCCTAGAGTGTGAGGATTCATCCCTCACACTCTTCTCATGGCAACAGCCATTTTAATATCCCCAATAACATCCATGTGGCTCAGGGCACAGATTAGTATGGCAGGATTAAATGAGCAGAGAGTAAATGAACGCATGAATGAAGGTGGGCAAAGGAGAGAGCAAATTAAACAACGGAGGGCTAGGTGAGTGAACCAGTCAAAGCTGAGCTGAGCGGCTGAATAACTGATGAATGAGCTATGAATTAAAGAGTGGATAATGAATGAACTAAAGACAGACAATGAGGCCGGGGAGGTGGTTCAGAGGACCTACATTTGATTCCCAGCACCCTCATGGGGGCTCATAACCAAATGTAACTCCAGATCCATGGGATCCTAATGCCTTCTTGTGGACTCAGCGGGGACCAGGGCCACACATGGCACACAGGCATGCGGGTAGCACAACACGCTTATATATAAATATGAAAGATTAGAAGGCAAGTGCATGTTAAGTGAGTGGGAAATTGAATGAAAATGAGTGATATGTGTGAATTGTCCTGAAGGGTCTGCTAAGCAAGTGAAGCAATGGTTGAATGGATAAGGGCTGATATTACGGGCAGTGGGTGTGTCCCCGAAGCACACAGTCTCTCCTGCTGCCTTCTCAGTACCTTCTTTTTGGGCCCTGCCCTTGTCAATCAACAGTCCAGCACTTACTCAATACTGAGCTGCCCTTGGAGAAGGCCACTGCCCTCTACCATCAGCGTACAGTCCTTGACGCTCTCCGAGAGGGGGTTGATCACCATCACTTCCACAGCCACCGCCACTCCTACCACCGCTGGGCCCAGCACCTGGAGAGGCAGCATCCATGAGTCACCCAGCATCTTCTGCATCCCCACTTCCTGAAGCCCACGGCTCTGACTGGGCCAAAGAATGTGGCACCAATCACCCACCTCTGCCTCCACATACCCTGTTAAAATAGCACAGGCTTCCCTACTCTTGAGAGATGGAGCTGGTGCCCGAGGCTCAGACCCCAGTTTTGGATACCCTGCATCAGCCCTGTCAGAGACAGGGTGGTAGATGTGGACAGGAGTCACCTTGATGGTGATGAAATCCTCCAGAGTAATGTCCTTCTCCACCAGGAGCTTCTCCCCTTTACTGACAAGACACATGGCGGCCAACAGGATCTTCTTGTCCTCCGTCAGATCTTCTTTGTACTGAGAGTAAGATATTGTGACTGGGATCTTTTTCTCTGAAAGGCGGAGCACACAGGAAGCCAAACCTAAGGCTCAAAGAAGGTATTTTCCTACCCAAAGTCACACAGCAAGTACACCGAAGAATCCACATACACCTGGGTTCAAATCTAGGCCAGTGAATACCAGGATACCAGACTGTTTCTCCAAGGATGCCAAGACATCTGCACAAACTCCTCATAATTATGCAAGATGGAAATGTTTGCTACACCATCTGTCTGTACCACCTGAAATTTGTTTACTGCTTACTGAGGGCTTACTATATTTCCGGTCCAGAGAAGCGAGAACAAACAATAGCCTTCAACTTCCAAACTCATGGGGGCAACTTCCTTGTAATGCCTCCAAATATTGCTTGGCCATGAAGGGTTGACTTTAATCAGCTCCACCAATGGTGGACAGGCTTCACTGCTATTCCTTGCCTACACTCTCATACTTGAATTCCCATGGTCCAGATCTTTTGTGTGTCTCTCTCTCACCAGCTACACACGTCACCTAGGCACTCTCTTATGTAGCTCTCTACAAGTCATAGCTAGGTCTTGGTTCTGTTTGGATACCACACACATATGCAAGGGCTCCTCTTTTGCTTGACCCAGGCTCT